GAGGAGATACCACCTCACACCCGTCAGAATGGCTAAAATTAATCAGGAAATGACAGATGTTGGCGGGGATGCAGAGAAAGGGAAACCCTCCTACACTGTTGGTGGGAATGCAAGCTGGGGTAACCACTCTGGAAAACAGTATGGAGGTTCCTCACAAAGTTGAAAATAGAGCTACCCTACGATCCAGCAATTGCACTACTGGGTATTTACCACAAAAATAAAAATGTACGGATCTGAAGGGGTATGTGCACCCCAATGTTTATAGCAGCAATGTCCACAATAGCCAGACTGTGGAAAGAGCCAAGATGTCCATCAACAGATGAATGGATAAAGAAGAAGTGGTATATATACACAATGGAATATTATGCAGCCATCAAAAGGAATGAGATCTTGCCATTTGCAACGACGTGGATGGAACTGGAGGGTGTTATGCTGAGTGAAATAAGTCAATCAGAGAAAGACATGTATCATATGACCTCACTCATATGAGGAATTCTTAATCTCAGGAAACAAACTGAGTGTTGCTCGAGTGGTGGGAGGTGGGAGGGATGGGGTGGCTGAGTGATAGACATTGGGGATGGTATGTGCTATGGTGAGCGCTGTGAATTGTGCAAGACTGTCGAATCACAGATCTGTACTTCTGAAACAAATAATGCAACATATGTTAAGAAAAAAGAAAAAGAAGAAGATAGCAGGAGGGGAAGAGTGAAGGGGAGTAAGTCAGAGGGGAGACGAACCATGAGAGATGATGGACTCTGAAAAACAAACTGAGGGTTCTCGAGGGGAGGAGGGTAGGGGGATGGGTTAGCCTGGTGATGGGTATTAAAGAGGGCACATTCTGCGTGGAGCACTGGGTGTTATGCACAAAGAATGAATCATGGAACACTACATCAAAAACTAATGATGTAATGTATGGTGATTAACATAACAATAAAAAAAAAGAGTGACAGAACTTCTCTTGCCTGGTGGTCCTTAAATTATAACAGGTTTGTTGACTCCTTCAGTTCTAAAACTTGGCCACTTTTTTCCTCTGGAAGCCACACCAAGTTGTAAAATAGATCTATATCTCTCCTTATATATAGATACATAGATAAATATTTATATTCATATTTATATTTCTATGACACATATTTTAATAAAATAAAGTAAAATATATATTTTTTCTCTATGAGAAGAGCTTTTTGAAGGCATGTTATCACCAATCTTTAAGGCACACCATTGGATGACCAGGCTGACACCCCCTAGGGGCACCCTTTGGGTAATGGTGGGGACTTGCCTATGGGGAGAAAGTCATCTTTCACAGAAAGCAAGGGAATAACTCATAGCTCAAGGTAACTAAAGGTTTAACTTTTGTCTTGAGAGGGCCCCATAGGAAGCACCAGCTTTCAGCAAAATCTTTATGAAAGGATTCTTTTCTAAATTTTCCAAACAGACCTCTTTGTTATTACCCCAAGAGAGTGAACAACCAGTCAGGGAATTAAATCTCCCTTATCGTTTCCAGACTATTTTACCTTGCTGTGCACACCCCATTGGTGGGAGAGCCACAAATGGTTCTCTCCAGCTCCATTCCAACCACCAATCTGCCGTGTCTGAAATGTCCCAGCCCTTGCTGGCCTCATGTATTTGACTCCTACACCATGGGGAAGTCCCCCTTGGATTCCAGAAGAAAATTCAACTCCTTGGAATCCAAAACTAATAAACTTTCACAGAGTGGCCCCAGGTGGATTGGTTATCATGATATGTCAGTCTCACCTAACCAATAAGGCGGCCGGTTGGCAAGTTCCCAGGATGAATATTCTCATATGAGCATTGGATTAGAGGAAGCCAAAAGATTTTCGGCCATCTACATGCTCAACTTACACCCCACCTGGGTTCTGGGGTAGAGATCTTGTGACGGTTGGGGCCCTGCAAGGCAATTAAAAGAAATAAAGCAAAGTATTATATTTTAATTGATGTAATCTTCAAGCTCCCAGTGGAATCTGGGGTGATATCTGACTAGAGTTACCCTGGGTATTAATAGATGGCTATTCTGTGAAAGTGCATTTAGGAAGACAAAACCCTACAAATCCCAAACTTCATTAACATGTGTATCCGTTTGTTGGGGGGGGGGTTGGCTCAGACTCCCAGGACTACAAATTGAAAGAAACCACCTAGACCATTCTGGGATCTGAACAAAGAGTCGAAAGGGGTGAGGGAGTTGGAGGGGGTGGAGAGAGAGAGAGAGGGAGAGAGAGAGAAAGAGAGAGAGAAGGGCAGGTGGAGGGGAAGACACCAAGTGGGTTTATATTTTTATTTGCTTTTAGAGTACCTGGATATTGAACACACAAAACTATCCTTCCCAAACCCAGACAGCTTTCATCCATCACTAACACTTCAGGGTTTGTTTCTGTTTTATTGTAAATATTCCAGTCGAAGAAAGATAAACAGACAAGAAAAAACTGCTTTATACAGTATACAGAGTCAGATAGAAAATACAGAATGGAAAAGAAAGCCAACAACCAACAGATGAAAAGTGGAGACAAACCAAGGAAGGGAACTAGCTGGTTGCAGGTTCACCGACCAGCTTGAGTGAGGTGCAGCGATAGTCCCAGCAGCTAATAGAAACTGTCTAGTGCTGTCAGTCTTATCTTCATTCCACGCGGCAAAAGAAACAGACTTTATAAATGATTCATGGGGACATTTATTTCACTAATCCATTAGAAAAAGTTTGCTATTGATCAAGATATCCTGCTCATAAAAATGAGTTTTAAAAAAAAACAACCCTTCCCGCCCCCAGTGTGATCTGACAGTAGAGACCACACTGTTGGAAGCAAGGAACAGAGCTGTGGGTTGGAACAGCGTGGCACCATTAGGGTCTGAGGTCAGGCGGCCTTCGGTGCCCTTCCCACCCAATCCACGAGACTCGAGGCAAGGTTGAAAAAAATACTCGAGTCCTCTCAGAGCTTGCCATCATTTGATGGTTAAAGAGGAAAAGAAAAAAAAAGATTCAAATTCATGAGAGAGAAGGTCAGCCTAGGACAAAACTGGCATCCTTAACGGGAATCATCGGGGTCCCAATTGGCCCCCAGGATAGCAGTTCTAACTAACTGGCCTGGCATACAGAAGATGTTGAACTACTCAAATGGTAAACAAAACAAAACAAAACAAAACATGGAATTAAGTTCATCAGCTTCCAAAGATGTCTTTATTTTAGTACATTCAGAACAGAAATGTGAGGACAATTCGATTCAAGGTGGTGGTGGTGGTGGTGGTGGTAGGGGCTGTTTATTTCTCTCTCCCTCTGAATTTTCTAAGTTTACAATCAGAAATTGCATAGAATTTGTTTTCCATCAGAAGATGAAAACTCTCTGCGTGAAACTCCCAGCTGGTAGAGCCAAGCAAAGGTCACGCAACTGCTGGGAAGCCTCACCCCGCCCATCAGCTGAGTGCACTGGACCCTGCAGACATCCCACAAGTAGAGCGGTAAGTAGAAGCCATCTGAGAGCCTGGAAAGCATCAGTAACTCTGATTTCGGAAGTGGAAGAGAAGTTAAATGCTTTATTTAAACTCAAGTGAGGGGACTTCTGCCCAAGCTGAGGTTAGGGCTCAAGAGTCCCCAGGTCCCAGGCCTGTGTATCAGCTGTGAGGCTCCACCTGTCTCCTAGGAACCTGGCAAGTTCTTGATTACTTAAGGTCTTTCCATTTAATAAGCACACACAGCACACACTCACACATACACGTGCACATGCGTGCACACACACACACACACACACACACACATGCTTGCACCCAGGTCTCACGTCTAGTAGAAAGAAATCACCCAATCCATGATAGCCTTGGGGGTCTGGCTTCATAGGCAGCTACTGAGTTTGGTTAAAAAAAGATGCCGTTCACAAAGGCTGCACAATACCAACAGGGTGGCCCCAGGGTGGCCCCACCCCCCTCCTCCCCTGTGACTAGCACATTCCATCTGAAGCCAAGGCCAGGGTATAGGAAAAGTGTTTCATCCCACTCTGCTCCTTAAGCAAGGCCCTAGGACACCTCCTGCATTCTGCTCTCCTCCCCCATCTCTCTTCTTTAGAGATCACATTCACAAAAGACCAAATCAAACCCAGTGACAGTGAAAGTCGGAAAGAGAAAGAGAAGACATAGTAACCCCTGAAATCCCAGGCATTTCAAGGTCTTTCTGAGTAAACTAGGAGTTGATTGGATTTTGGCATTTAAAAAATTACTTTAATGGACTTTTGAGACTCTCCAAGACCTAATTCTTCCCAAGACCCTTCTCCTACACTCTCTGGTGCCCCCAATTCCCACTCAGAAAAGAGAGGTTGGCACCTGAAATCCGACGCACTGGCCGCTCCATGTCCTAAAATTTAGGAAAAAGAAACGGATTATTTAGACTTCCATTGCCTAACCCAGCCTCCCCCTCCAAAAAACAAAAACAAAAACAAAAAACCACCCCCAAACAAATGGCTGGAATTGAGAAGACAACAAAGAAGAAAAGTGGGGTACGGACGGGGGAAAGGGGGGAAGAAGGGAAAACAAAAGAACATTAACAAAAAATATACAAATCCAGAAAAGAAAAACTTCCCTGTTGAGTTTAATTTGTTTTCCTGTAAGAACTAGACCCAGGGTACAACGGCCCCTTCCTAGGGGAAATTCCACTGATTCCACCAATTAATTCACTGGACAAGTCTGGGCAGGGACCCCCCACCCCAGACTCTGTAACTCTGGCGGGAGGGAAAGGCCCACTGGGAGAAGATGGGTCCTTGTGGTTGGCAGGGAGGGCGTCCCCTCGCCGCTGGGGTGCAACGTCTCTGGGTGGCCCCAGCTCCTGGCCCTGGGCACTGGCTCTGGCTGGGGCGGCAGGCTCTGCGCTCTTTGGGTCAAGTTCCGGGATCCAGGCTCCAGCGAGAAGCTGCACAAGTCTCGGCTCCCCGCGGAGCGCAGCGCCCCCACCCCGCCCCCCGCCGGCCCTCCCGCCTCCCCACCCGGCCTGCACGTGTCCGGCGCCCCCGGGGCTACTCGGGCTCGCTGCTGTTGGTGGTCTTCTCCCACTCCAGGCTCTCCTCGCTGCGGGCGGGGGACGGCCGCGCCCGCAGGCCCTGGAACCTGCGGCACTCCGGGCAGACGCGGATGTGTGTGCAGCCGCGGGCCACCAGGGCGGCCTCCTGGGCCAGTCTCTGCGCCAGCTGGTCGGGCTCCCCGGCCCCGCACAGTTTGCCGTTGCTGAGCGTCGCCGTGCCCCGCGGCCGGCGCTCCTCGGGAATGGGGGGCCGGGGCGGAGGCACCCCGGCGCGCCGCCGGCGGTGGTGCACACTGTCCTGACACAGGATGATGCTGCGCAGCTCGGTCACCATCTCCTGGCAGACGGACACCTGGGGGGAAGGAGGAGGTCACAGCCCAACCTCTCAGAACCAGCCCATGCGGGTCCCTGGCACGTCCCTTGCGTATCTGTTCCAGTGGGGGCTGGAGGGGAAGGATCTCAGAATCATATAATCGTAGGTATGGAGATATTGGGAGGCCCTTTCAATCCATTCCCTCATTCCACCTCCCACTTAGCATTTGAAGGCCCTCCATACCATAGTGTTCAACAGCCCTGCCATCTGGTTGTCCAGTCTTTGTCTGGACACCTCCAAAGACAATGTCCTCACCATGCTGGGAGAGAACCCATGCAATGGTGCTTCCTTCTACAGACTTCACAATTCGTCTCCCTGAAATTTTCCATCCATCCCAGTTAAATTTGTAACGTGAAGCCTACTAAATAAATAGGCCCTTTTCTGCAGGTCAGTCTTTCAAGTACTTGAAAAAGCCATGTCTCCATGAACATTCTGTTCTCAGGCTAGAGTCTCTCACTCTTTGGGTCAACTGGTTATAGCCAGAGATAATAATACAACAACAAAAGCTACGGCAACCACCACCCCTACTGGTCCACCGTCTCCTGAAAACAAACCCTTGGGTCCAGGTATGTTTCAGAATATTTTCGATTTGAGAGAGGTAATACAACACACATGCAGTATACTGTGTATCACACCCAGTGGGGTCTAGGGCAGACCCTATATTCAAGCACATTAAAAGCTGTTGAGAGAGTAAGTCCTGAGAGTTCTCATCACAAGGAGAAAATTGGTTTTCCTTTTTGCCTTCTTTTCTTTTTCTTTTTCTTGTATCTGTAGGAGATGACAGATGCTAGCTGAACCTACTGCGGTGGTCATGTCACAATATCGGTAAATTAGACCATTATCTTGTATGCCTTAAACTTACACAGTAACATATGTCAATTATTTATCAATAAAACTGGAAAAGACCACATCAGCATTTCCATAGCAAACTGTATGGGCCTTTACACCGAGTGGAAGAAAGACCATAAACATTAACGTTAGCCTCGGACCTGTGCACGTTTTGTCACCAAGTGTACTTTGCATCAAATTTATAAAAAATTTGGAACTTTCCCAGCTTTTCAGGTTTGAAAGCTGCTCTTTCATGGTCTTTCTTCCAGTCTTCGAGTTCTATCAATGGAACAGTTGTTCTACTAGAGCCAAATAGCTAATGGAGACTTTACTCTTCATTTTAGCTCTTGGAAGTCCTCACTGAAGTTTTCAAGGTACATCTAGACGGTGCTTAAGCTCTTGAGAATAACCAAATGTGCACAGATCCTCTACTTGAAGTGGCTGTAGAGAAGTCGCATCACCTAATGGGATATGGCCCATTTAGACTGTTACTTAAATTGAGACCTGTTACTAAATATCAGAGACTCTGGGCAAGTCCCTTAACATCTCTGTGCTTGCAGTAATAACTGTAACAGCTAAAACAAGAGCACCCGCCTAATCTATTACATGTGACAAGACATACATTTATTGGCTGTCAACTATGTATCAAGCGCTGTGCTTTGCATGGAAATACAGAGAGAGTGGACACAGTCCTGACTTTTAGGCAGTGCAATGTTTAGTAAGGAGGCTGAAACAAAAATAATTGCAACACAATGTATAAGTGCTTGATGCACAGGATGCAATGGTGTTGGAAAAGAGGAGAAACGATCAACTCCTCTTGTCCAGGGAAGAAGGCAGGAGGACTGGGGAAGGTTTCATAGGGAAAGGAACACCTGAGCTGAGTCTTACAGAGTAAGTAAGTAGCACCACTATTTTAGGAGTGGACAAAGGGAGAAAGCCAGTAAAGCTGGAGGGAGAAGTAGGAGGGGAAGCAAGAAAGCTTGGTGTCAGGCAAGGCAAGGGAGGGGAGAGCTTCTGGAAGGAACTGTCCGCTTCGTGAAGGGCACACTGAGGTTCAATAAGGCCCATTGGGTTCTCTGGTTTTGTTCGTTGGGAGGGGTTAGACCTCTCAGCAATGACCTTTCAGTGCAGGGGTGGGCAGGAGCCAGACTGCCCTGCACTGAGGACTGGATGGGAGGTCAGGAGATGGAGACAGCCGGACCCCCTTGGTTTGGAGGAAAAGGGTAGCGCAAGAGCAATAGGAACACTGCTATTATTTTATGGCTTTTTGCTGAAGCCCTGCATGGAGCCCAATGCAGGGCTTGAACTCACAACCCTGAGATCAAGACCTGAGCTGAGATAAAGATTCAGATGCCTAACCTACCTGAGCCACCCAGGCACCCCAATACTACTATTATTTTAAAATAGAGGATAAACTTGAGCATAATTTTAGATTTTGGGGAGAGAGCAGGAAGCAAACATAAAGGAGAAAAAAAGGAAAATCCTAGAGTAGCCAAGGCAAGTGGGATGAGGGCAGAGACAGAGTGATGCCCAGGAGCATCTGCTGTGGTTGCAAGGGTGGCTTTAGCTGTAGGTAAAGTTTTCAGGGGGGGGGTTTAATTTGGGGCTAGCCTCTCCTGATTTCGTGGGGGTGGGTGGGAGGTAAAATTAACCTTTATGCATGAAGGGGCAAAGGAATATGAGGAATGGGTGATGGTTTGGAAGTCCTAGTGGGTATGGGAAAGAGTCTGAGCACAGAAAAGTAAAAGGACCAGAAGGCAGTGCTGTATTGAGGCCCCACGTGAGGCTGGACTCGACAGATGGAGAGGCGCGTGTACACCCCTGTTTCTCCAGCATCAATTAAGGGAGGAGACTTATGACGACTGAGAGCTGAGAGACTGAGAGAGAAGCTAACGTACTTTAAGAACTGAATAATGCCATCAGCATGTAAGGACTGGTGCCCCTTCTCTGAGGTAGAATGGAGACAGAATGGGATAAAGACTTCTTCCTTCTATTCAGACTTCTCAGTCTGTGCGAAATTTATATTAACCCAGTTTCTAAGCCACAGGTTCGGGAATTAAGTGGATTCAAAATCCCTGAGAAGGACGATGTACTTCTTGGCCTTATGTGAACTGGGATATCTCCAAACATCTTTACCGGTAAGGCGAAAACATACTGAAGACGGAAGAACCAGTCTTCGCTTTCACAGGAAGCCTGGTACTTTGGCCTGTTTTTCTTTGCCACACTACATCTTAAATTATAGTTGTATAAGAATTTGTTGTGTGTAAAACACTCATCATGTATTTATCGGCTGGGCTGTTTTGGAAAAGAATCTGAAGCTCAGGGGCTAAGCGCACTTTTCTGTGGCTGCATAATTAGTAAGTGATGAAGCGTTAACCCAGATCTCTTGCCCGTGGGACTGGGATTCTTTCCGCCACACTGTCCCGTGGGTGCCCCACCCTCTTATGGGATCTCACAGGTTTTGTCTGAAATGACTTGTAGGTGCGTGAGCCCATCTGCCAACACTACAGGTTGTACCCATTTGAAAGTTTACCTCAGTAGCTTCCGAGTGTCGGAGAGTCCATAAAAACTCCAACATAGCCATAAAAATGGCCACGATTAAGCCACAAATAAGAACCACAAAGATTCCACCAATATTCTCCATTCCCAGTCCTGTAAGAAAGTGAGAACAAACACAAAGTAACATTAAGAGGGCTACAAGACATAATCATTCTACCAAAATGCTGAAAGTCATTTAACCAACCAGGACTTGAGTCTTGTAGATGCTTTACACGCATCTTCCTTGCAGGCGATATAATTATTCTTTTGAAAAAAAAAAAAAAAAGTGTGGCATAGCTGGAGTAGAAAAGGGAAGTAGGATCCAGTTGCAAAAGGAGGAGACCAGTGAGAAGCCTCCAAAAGGCCCTCTGGGGGTGGGAGGTGAGAGTCATTTTAAGAAAAAGGTCAGCGGTAGCTGGGCGGCACAGTCGGTTAAGCGCCCGACTCCTGGTTTCGGCTCAGGTTGTGATCGCAGGGTGGTGAGACCTCAGGTAGTGAGAACCTGCGTCAGGGTCTGCACTCAGCACAGAGTCTGCTGGGGATTCTTCCCTCTTGCCCTCTGCCCCTCCCCTGCTGACTCTCTTTCTCTCTCTCTCAAATAAATAAATTTTTTTTTTTTTAAGAAAAGGGTCAGTGAAAATTTGACTTAGCCTCCAGAGATATGATAATACCAAAATACCTACAAATTCTAGATGTTTCATAAAAAATTTAGTCAATCTTTATAATACTGGGTTTGCTGGATATAAGGCAGTTGTTTCAACCAAGCTATGGATATAAAAAAATCCATTTATGTATCTGTGTCAACAGGTTACTCAATTACTTATTGAGACAGAACTTTTTTTATCCCTCCGGACCAGTGGTTGCCATCAGAACTATGTGGGAAGCTTGTTCAAAATACAGATTCCTTGTCCTTATACCAGACCTCTTGAATCCATATCTCTGGAGGTGGGGCCTAGGAGTCTGCATTTGAAAATACATTTCACAGGTGATTCTTTCTCAGCCAGACCTAAAATTCATTTGCAGATTAGTATTTTTAGAGGCAATGTACATCATGAAATTCTTGACGTCAGGCACAGTTTCCAGTTGTATCCTCACCACTGAGCATGATACCTGGCAGATAGCATATACTCAGTAAATATTTGTAGGGTTTTATGGTTGTTTCATTTCCACAGTGTCAAACATTGAATTTACCTATGTCACTGGATGCTTTATCTGGTATCAGAGAAACCCAGACTTTAGGGGAGTGTCATCAGCCCATGAGACCCTGATTCAAGAGGGACTACAACCATAAATCAAAAAGCATCTTTTATCCAGGAAAATGCCAGGAGGGTAGCTTACGCCCTGTGCTATTCCAGAATGCTCACACGTTTGAGGGTCTGTGTAATCCGTAGTAGGACACAGAGCTATGTCAGCATTAGGGAAAGCCAGCCTCACACACCACTACAAGATGAGCTTAGTTCAGGAGCCGAAATCTGACCCTACTTTCTGCATCTTGGAGAGCTGGAAAAATAGCCCTACGTAGCCATTTCAAGATGCCTCGGGTTTCTTCTCACAAAGCCTCGAGTGATGTCTGTTGCTTTTTTGTTTTGTTTTGACAACACCCCGCCCGGTGCAGGGGTGGCCTACACCAATCATCTGCTACCAAGGCCCCCATCGTGAATGCAGCAAAGGGGCTCCGTACTGTGCTCTGCAGGTCCCCACGGTTGACTTCTGAGAACCTGTGCAGATTTGGATCCTCTCTATTGAATAACCCCAAACAAGGAGATATTTAAAAACTCAATTCTAAGGGAAGGCATATAGGGTTTAGAGTAGAATTTCTACTTTCGGGGGGGGGGGGGGGAAGGTGCTTGGGATTCATTTTGAACACCTGCCCCTCTAACCTGGGATCATTTGGGCAGAAAGATTTTGACCATGGGAAACATCGGGAACCACGTGAATGGGGCAGACACACAGGACACTTGAGAAAGAAGAGTGCACAGAGGCTGGGGTATTCTGGGACCCGCTCCAGCAGCAGGTGCATGGGTATTGTGATGTGCATCTGAGCATCATGGATGAACTAGATGCTCCAGCTGTGGAGCAGGCTGGATGGAAGGCCTCCGCGAAGGGGAAGTGACCACCGTGATACCAAGGATGCCTACCTGTTCAGGTAAACGGACTCCCCGAGTGACTGTGAAGGTACTATAAGACTTTCTGATCACCCTGGGGTGGTCCTGCCTGATACAGAAAAAAAGACTAGGATCCCCCTGAAAGGCCTCAACCCCTCCTCCTGTTTCTACAGAAGGGCACAGCCCCTCGGTGGGGCCAATTCTGCCATTTGGGCTCTAGCTGCTTCCCCCGCCTGTGTCAGCAGCACCCCGACCCTCCTGACTCTCTTCTTCCTCCTGACTCCCTCTCAGCATATACACATACTCACATGCCTCCCTTCTCAGAGAGAAAATAAGAAACCCTCCTTCCCCTTCCAACTCTGTCTAGTGAACACCCCTTCTCTCTCCTTCCTTCCCTGTCCAAGCTTTTTGAAACAGTTGTCTATATCAGAACTATTTAAAAACATTTCAAAGCCCTTAAAAAGCGTACATTTGGAGGCCCTATCTCACATAAAACCAAGTAGAAGAAAATGCACCCACATCTTATGTTAAATGCATTTTTAAAATTTTGCTTGTGATATGACTGAGTAGCAAGCAACAGTTAATTTATAATTGGCTGTGATTTCTCAGCAATCCTTGTGCATACCAGGGAATGTTTGCAAAATGAGAAAAATTTAACCAAAAAAATTGTTTCCAGATGTAATGAAGCTTTTATGAATATTAAATTTAAAAATTAATGAAGTCGAAACAATGTTACATTTTGGAGATATTTAATTAAACATGTCTTAATTTAATTTTGCAGGTTCTTTTTTGCATCTTAAAGCTAATAAATTTTCTCAGGCCTCAAACATAATTTTGGATGCTGGAAAAGCTTTTAGGCCCAAGGTAGCTGAAGAAGAAAGTGGTTCTCTCTGAGCTGACTTTTGTTTCTCCTATTCACTCATCACTGCATGCAATTCTGTCTTGCACCACTAAAACCACCCACACCAAGGTCACCAATGAACATGTTTCTAACCTATTGGAAACCTTCTAGTCCTGATCTTAAGTGACCTCTTGTAGCACTTGGCATTGCCAACCACACCCCCTTCTTGGATTTTTATAAAGACATTGCTCTCTTGCAACCTTCTTGACGCCTTTGCCTGCCCTAAGGCACATTGTCTCCTCATTGCCCTGCATTTGGTCTCCTGCTTTTCCGTCCTGCACTGGCTGGTACCAAGTCCTGCTGATTTTGCCTCCTACATACTTTTCAATTGCTCACCCTTCTCTCTATCCCTGCTACCACTTCCCTCATTCACATTCAGGCTCCCACCGTCTCTTGGTTGGACTGTTCAGCAGCCTCAGAAATGATTTCCTGCTTGCAGCTGTATAGCTCAACTCTACCGTCCACTAAGTTTGCCCGAGTGATCTTCCCCAAATGCAAACTCTAACTGCGACACATCTCTAGTAACTCTTCACAGTTCCCGGCACACAGCATTGTTGCCCCTATTTTTTTTCTGTACCTTTATTCCTGTGAGCACCTCTGCCTGAAGCCTACCCCAAACCCCCAGACACACACTGGGCTAACCTTAACCTTTCCTTTAAGGCTTCACTGAATGGTCACTTCCTCCAGGCTGCCTTCTCTGATTTTACCTAGCTCTGTTACATATACCACTTTGGTATTTCACTGATAATGCACTGTGAATCCATCTAACATTGTATCAGATAATACCCTAGTTTGAGCTGCTATCTCTGGATTTGCCACTAGACTATGAGTTCCTTGAGGGAAATATCCAGGTCTCGTCCAGCTCTGTAACCCCACAATCATGGTGCCTGGCCCATAATCGGAGCCCAATAAACGTTTGTGGAAAGAATGAACAGAAACTAAGAGGATAAAGACATCTCCTATGTAGAAGCCTGTATTATCAAAAGCTTTGGATCCATACTGTGAAATGTATTCAGTCCTAATTAAATTTTGTTTGAAATAATAGTAAAGTGTGACAGCCCTTGTCGGGTGCTTGGAGCCTGGTCACAGAGGCAGATGGCCCAGACTGCGCAGAGTGGCTGGCCAAGGGCAGACTGAACACTGACATGGGCTAATCCACAACGTGGACCCACGGTACCGGGTCCCCAGCGGGTGCAAGGTTATACACAGACAGGTGATCGGGGGAGGTTTATACACAGGCAGGTGATCAGGGGAGGTTTATACACAGGCAGGTGATCGGGGGAGGTTTATACACAGGCAGGTGATCGGGGGAGGTTTTTACACAGACAGGTGATCGGGGCTGGGATAAGTTTGATGAGATCAGGGAAAGCTTCTCGGAGGAGCTGAGGTTTTAACAGGATGCGGGTAGAAAGCATGCGTCACTGAAACACCCCCAGGTCTTGCTTTCCCAGCTTCTCATGTTTCAGGGACAGCATGTTAATCACGCTGTTAGCTCCAGCATGCTGATTCCTGGCTGGGCGGCCTCCCCGCCCAGGAGCGAGGCTTGTGTGCCACCCGTGCCTTTAGGAACTTATTGGAAAGTGGAGGCAAGAATAGATTGCTGGCAGAGTCAGAGTTGAGAAACAGATGGAGTGGGAGCAGGCAGCGAATGCTAGGAGAGCACAGCGGTTCTACTTAACACTGCCATCAGTCATCTCCTAAAGTCAAACGCGTTCCGCAGTGCACAGCCTCTCCTCGGGCACGGACACCCTCCAGTCTGACCACAGGTCCTCGATGCGCTCACAGCCACCTCGGCCCCTGCAAGGCGGGGTGGGGGGGAGCTGGCTAATCACCGCCCCCATCCCTCCTTCAGCCGGACCCCACAGAAGCCACCTAGACAGATGGCTTTCAGACAGAGTCTCTCTTGACGCTTGAGTCTCAGAGCCTCAGCTATGTCCCAGCAATAAGACCATATCAGCTGAAACAGAACCAGACTCCCCCTGCAAACTCTTGGTTGATTAAACAGTAACTCTGGTGTCGCTCCTAGCTTGTCCACAAATACAAATTATGGTTGACAAACTAACAACTTTCCTTGTCTCTAAAACTACAGAGGGGCATGGCAACCTGCA